GATTGTACCAAAATGTTCTGTCACCACTGCACACAAATAACATAAATTTCAAAACAACTTTTAAATTTTCAAATTGTAGATCAAATTACTTTAAACAGTTTTTAAAAACATTGTTTTAATTTTAAATTGATTTAATTTTAATTAATTTTGGTTTCAAGGCCAGAGTTTTAATTATTACTTTTAATAATTTTTATTTTATTTAATTTTGTCTGCAGTTTTTGACTCTCAATTAATTTAAAAAATTGTAATTAAAACTGTTTTCTTTTGCAACATAACTATGGAAATTGTTTGTGTTGTTTTGTACACAAGATAATCAAATTTAAATTTATTTTAATTTTTCAGTATTTTCATTAATTTTTGTTTTTTTGTATAAATTTTCCTGCTTTTAAAATTTTTAAGATTTTATTTAAGTTATAAGTTAGTTAACATTGATGAGTTTCAAATCAAGGCTGGTGATCATCAAAACAGTTTAAAATATAAATAAAATAATATTTTGATTGAAAAAATATTATTACAGTAATACCCCAAACTTATGCGATAGGTGGGACCGAGCTATAACCATGTAAGTCAAATTTGTGTAAGTCGGGGTATAATTTCGCATATAAATACATACAAATAATTTTTAATTGGGACTGGAGACTAAACAATAATTTAGAAAAAAATGTTTAATAAAATCTTAGATAATACACATGTATTACATATTATATTACTATACAATTTTTCACATTTACTTGATTATCACGCCATAATTTTAACATTGTTTCCATCTCAGTGATAATATCGTGACATTTACAAATGATGCTTGAATTTAAAGATTGAGCATTTTTCACGGCTTCGAGAATTTTTTCTTTACCTTTTTATAATTGTTCTGACCGTCGATTCCAGTAGATCAAACTTTGCCAATTCATAAATTTTCATTTTTGTATCGAAGTCTTTATCTTTGGAATGTAAAGTTAACATTATTAAAGTTTTTCTTTTTTTGTTTGATGCAGAAGAATCAGTTCTACTTCATTTGGATGACATAGTAGAGTCTCTCAAGTCTCTGTAGATATAACAAACACAGAAATAAATAACACAAAATAAATTGTAGCTATATATCGATTCCACACGACACGTCCGAACATGTAAGCCGAACAATAGTGTGGAGGGAGTTGCATGGCACTCAAACAAAAGACGAATTGACAAGATTTGAAAATTGAGTAACTCCGGGTTCGTGTAAGTCGAGGTATTACTGTATACAAAATTATTTTAATATTTATGTTTATTTGATTCTGATGAAACCGTGTTGTAGTTTACATTGCTTTATACAGACACACTACAGTGACATTTTTCAAAACACTTGGCAGATTATTCATCTCTTTATTCAGTTGGCTGAATAAAGAGATGAATAATCTGCCAAGTGTTTGAAAAATGTCACCGTAGTGTGTCTGTATAAAGCAAAAAATTTGTTTATTTTTAATGATAATTTTCTCATTGTAATTATGACAGTTTTTGAAATGATTCATAGATGATGGTGTAATACATTAAATTTTCAAATATGATTTGCACGATTCTGAAAAAATATTCTTGTTCACACTAAGTTTACTGCTATTTTGAATTTTAAAAAATTGATTTTTCAAGATGAGTCTGTCTAGACATTTGTGGTTCAAGTGAATGAATTCAAAAATTGGCAAACTTGTAATGATGATGATGATTGTTGGTCTCACATCACTTATCAAATTTTATTTACTGTTAAATATGATGTAATTAAAGCATTTAAGAGGTATACTGATTACAAGAAGCATAAAAAAGAAATGCATCTTCTCATTTACCATCTGATCATCGCTTCNCTTTTCGGTAATAAAAGAGCAAAATATGCCAAAAATGCTGCTTTCGATCTTCCATATTTGATAGGACACAAAAAATAAACAATTGCACAAAATCAAACAAAATTTTTTACAAATAAGCCTTAAAATGCTAGCTGTCAAAATATATAATGATAATACAGTTTAGAATGAAAATGGCGGAAAAAATACGACTAATCCGTCTAGTGGTAAAAAAAAAAAACAAACTTACTTTCCAAACAACCCAATAGGATTTTTATCATAATAATAAACAACAATCATTTAACACATATTTGTATATTACAAATAATAGCAATATTCAAATATAAAAAAGACAACAATTTATTAAACATTACATTCAAATAAAAAAAGAACATAGTAGAATTTCTAGAATTAACAATAAATGTTTAGAAATTTAATTTAAAATAAATAAATCTAATTTGAAATATATTTTATCAAACCATATTTTATATATTCAGAACAGTTTTAACATTATGGAAAGAATTAAATATTGTAACAGGTCCTGGTGCAGGATTTTAAGTGTGTGGAGTTTTAAAAATACCCCCATTGTTTTTTTAGTGACAGTTTATGAAGTAACACTACAGTAGACTAAGGAAGAACTTAATGAGTACAAAACAATGTTATATACAATATACTCTTTAATTCTTCCAAATGAGGAATTAAACCCACAAAAGCCATGTGCATAGCCTTGAATGATAGTAAGTGAACTTAGTATTTTATTTCAAAACGTTTTACAACTAATGTTTGGGAATATTCTACAAACTTAGAAAGTTAATAACAGAAATAAAGACACTCAAAAATTATTTTAGTTTAATGTTTTAACATTTAATTATTAGGTGATGGTGCTGTTTCTTTTACATTCAACATTTTTTGTGTTATAAAATATTAAATTTAGAACAAACGTCAATCTTATCTAAAAGTTAAATCATAACTAAAAAATTACATTGTTACAGAAAATTACAGTGTGTCCTGTGGAAGACATTTTAAATTCATATGACACTTATATGCTATGTAATTTTATACTTAAAAATTTTGTTCGTATAATTGTACATTTTTACCATTAACATTACTTTGAAATAAGAAAATTTGTTGAAACATTAAAGTTCTTAGTATAAGTATTAAACTTTTGCATACCAATCTCAGTTTACACTGTTTTTTTAACACCAGTAAAGGATCATTTCCTGAAAATCATTGCTACTATTTTTCAGAATTTCCAAAACAAAGTAAAATGTAGTTTATTCTAAAACAAACCATTCTACATTACAAAATCATAAATGCAATTTATATTTTGCTTCATTTAATTAATTAAAAAAATCATTTTTTAATTAAAAGACATATATATATTATTTCTTAATTTATTTTTACTTTTGAATTTGGCTACAAATATTTTACAATTAAGAAATTTTGATATATGAAAGCACTAAAAAACATATCATGCAAATTGGAAATTCTACAAAGCATCTTTTCAACAAAATGTATCATGAAAGTATTATGATTCCAAGTTTCACATAATCAAGAAACAACTACTACTTGGACACCAAATTTATTTATTTCAAAATGTTTCTAGTCTTACTTTAAGCCATCTTTAACACACATGCAAGTTAAATGTAGAATAACAAAACAGGATATTTATGAAGTTTATTGACATGCAATATTTTATATTTATATAATAAAAAACTATACATTATAATTAAATTAATCACAATAAAATATGATTCTGAATGATAGTAGCACCACTCCTTGATACCAAGCATCAATATAAATGAAGGTGATACAGTAGACTTATCTGACTCAATTAGCCAAATAATTTTGTTTTATTTAAAAAAAAAATATTAAAAAAAGAAGATTTTTATCATTACTTTGTACTTTTTATTACTGTACATTATTATTAAATAACACTGTAAAAATGTGATTGTAAATGTTTCATAAAACATATGGTTATTCAACAGATCATAGTAATTGCATACATATTGACTTATTTTTGCTAAAAATTTTGTATTAAAACGTTACAAATCAAATTAATTTAGTTATTACATGTACTGTAAAATTTACAGCTAAAAACAAATCACATATGAGATGCACTGAGGTGCCTGACTACACAGGAAATGTCCTATCTTCAATCTTTATGTTATAAAGCTTTTTCCTGCTGCATTAATTCAGATAATTGTGAGTCTACTGTATTTGGATTTGGGAATAGCTCATTTTGATGAACAATATAATTTGTTATCATTATCATTAAATATTTCAAGTTCAAAATTGTCATTAAAATGATTGAAGTACAAATAACTTGCATCACACTACACAAACACATATATATGATTTGAATAAAATTCTTTTTCTGAATGCCAACAAATTTATCTAACTAAAAGAATCTATGGAATATGAAAAAATTATATTTCAATTAAAAAATTACTTTTAAAGANTTAAAAGTAATAATTAAAACTCTGGCCTTGAAACCAAAATTAATTAAAATTAAATCAATTTAAAATTAAAACAATGTTTTTAAAAACTGTTTAAAGTAATTTGATCTACAATTTGAAAATTTAAAAGTTGTTTTGAAATTTATGTTATTTGTGTGCAGTGGTGACAGAACATTTTGGTACAATCTCTCATTGCTCTGACTACACAAAAGAAAAGTCCACCACAACAGACATCACCTTGTATATGGGAGCGTACTCTCTGCTTAATTGAAACTTTCACCCCAACAAACTAATACTTAATCATTAATATCGTAATTTAAAAAATTTTTAATTTTTGATTGAAACAAATAATTAATTTTCTTATAAAATGAAAAAGAATTGTTTTTAAGAAACTGAAATCATGACAAGATTTGCTCAATTTCCAGAAAATGCCCGATTTTTCCAATTCCAATTAATTGTCTCATCACTATTAATTAGTATTTTGATTATCAAAAATTATATTGTATATTAAAACAAAAATAACTTATACAATTATTCAATGTAATGATTATCTCATTACTAACAATAGGGTCTACATTTTTGCAATTGTGATTTACCAACTAAAGCTAAGCCTTTATTGTATTTATTTTCCTTTTTTTTTTTATGTAATCTCTGTGGTTGGTGAGGAATGTCTGTAGTTTAATATGACAAATTAATCCTTAGCAATTAGTATAAGGGTAAAAAAAATATCACTTACTGCATTTACTTATTATCTTAAAAATGTATTTTAATATCTGAGTTGCTTCTGTTTGTTGATCAACCTGTAAACATTAGAATTAATCAGAATATAATAAACAAATTATAGATTACTTTCCATATACTATAAATAAAGAAATTATAATAACTGGAACCAAATAAATGATTCCAGTAGTATGTGAATCCCCCTACACTACTTTATCAATATACAACAATTAGTGAATAACTCTAAAATCAAAGTTTTCTTCTGTAAATTATCACAATTAATCACACTTTAAATATTTTCAACCTTTTATAACAATTAAGAATCATTTATATAAATGTGTTGATAAATAAACTAAGGATTTAAATAAAATTTTTAAATTATGTATTTTGTTGCTTTATGCCTGTTGATAAAATTGCAGAAACACACATTAATAGAGCACTCATAGAATTTTAGAAGTAATAAACAATTATTGTTCAAATTATTGCTTGCAATTTTGGTGAACACACATTTTTATGGAAGAAAATGTCTTATGTATTGTCGTGTTATACATATTGTATTTTAAATACAATGAATCTTAAAATCAGTATAGTTTATAACTTAATAATACTTATCATCTGCACATCGGATTTAACTAAATATCACGTACCTTAGAAAAAACCTTTAACCGATGCGAAGTAAAAATTTAATGGTACAAACGTTTGTACCATTAAATTTTTACTTCGCATCGGTTAAAGGTTTTTTCTAAGGTACGTGATATTTAGTTAAATCCGATGTGCAGATGATAAGTATTATTAAGTTATAAACTATACTGATTTTAAGATTCATTGTATTTAAAATACAATATGTATAACACGACAATACATAAGACATTTTCTTCCATAAAAATGTGTGTTCACCAAAATTGCAAGCAATAATTTGAACAATAATTGTTTATTACTTCTAAAATTCTATGAGTGCTCTATTAATGTGTGTTTCTGCAATTTTATCAACAGGCATAAAGCAACAAAATACATAATTTAAAAATTTTATTTAAATCCTTAGTTTATTTATCAACACATTTATATAAATGATTCTTAATTGTTATAAAAGGTTGAAAATATTTAAAGTGTGATTAATTGTGATAATTTACAGAAGAAAACTTTGATTTTAGAGTTATTCACTAATTGTTGTATATTGATAAAGTAGTGTAGGGGGATTCACATACTACTGGAATCATTTATTTGGTTCCAGTTATTATAATTTCTTTATTTATAGTATATGGAAAGTAATCTATAATTTGTTTATTATATTCTGATTAATTCTAATGTTTACAGGTTGATCAACAAACAGAAGCAACTCAGATATTAAAATACATTTTTAAGATAATAAGTAAATGCAGTAAGTGATATTTTTTTTACCCTTATACTAATTGCTAAGGATTAATTTGTCATATTAAACTACAGACATTCCTCACCAACCACAGAGATTACATAAAAAAAAAAAGGAAAATAAATACAATAAAGGCTTAGCTTTAGTTGGTAAATCACAATTGCAAAAATGTAGACCCTATTGTTAGTAATGAGATAATCATTACATTGAATAATTGTATAAGTTATTTTTGTTTTAATATACAATATAATTTTTGATAATCAAAATACTAATTAATAGTGATGAGACAATTAATTGGAATTGGAAAAATCGGGCATTTTCTGGAAATTGAGCAAATCTTGTCATGATTTCAGTTTCTTAAAAACAATTCTTTTTCATTTTATAAGAAAATTAATTATTTGTTTCAATCAAAAATTAAAAATTTTTTAAATTACGATATTAATGATTAAGTATTAGTTTGTTGGGGTGAAAGTTTCAATTAAGCAGAGAGTACGCTCCCATATACAAGGTGATGTCTGTTGTGGTGGACTTTTCTTTTGTGTAGTCAGAGCAATGAGAGATTGTACCAAAATGTTCTGTCACCACTGCACACAAATAACATAAATTTCAAAACAACTTTTAAATTTTCAAATTGTAGATCAAATTACTTTAAACAGTTTTTAAAAACATTGTTTTAATTTTAAATTGATTTAATNTCAACATTTTCAAAAGAAAAGAAAAGGAAGAATTCGAGTTTTATTATTTTAGAAAATTTTTCTACGGATGTTCCATATTCACTTTTTAACTTGTATTTTGAATTTTTTTCCTCCCAATAATTAAATTATTTGGAAGCAATTAGTTGTGCTAACTCGTTTCGGTTAGTTTATAAAAGATCGAGTAGATATTAATGCGTTTTGTTATTCTCAGTCGTTAATTAAACTATTGTTATATTTTTATAAACGAGGACATAAAATCCTCGTAAATCAATAAAATAGAAAATAAAATACTAAATGAAGGACGCCGAAACTTCGTGACTTCTTAATACGTAAAATTTTCAATTTTATTATTTACTTAAAATAAATATTGCGTTAATTAACCAATATTTATTAAACTCTATGGAGAGTGGTAAATAAATAACTTTTTCTGCGATAAATTTGTAAAATTTTCTCTACGTTTCAAGTGGAATTATTAATCGAATAATAATACCGTTTATTTAATATATAAAGATGGAATAAAATTAAAGTTTTTTTGGCCGAAAATATTATCTCATACTCGATAACAGTGTCAAAAAGGTTCAAACGGTCGTATTAGATTTCTGCTATTGTTTTTAACAACGTAATGTTCTTTGTGAATTCGTCTGGCCTATTATTTTTCTCTAATAAGCTATTATATTAGAAAAGTTTGCACTTGGTAAATTTCGTCGATATTTCGAAACGAAGTAAGGTGAAAACCGTTTTGAAATTATCGCTACATCACAGACAATAATAAAGAAATTAAACAAAAGTTATAGAGGAAATTGCATTTTGTTTCTTTCTTATGTAAGAATAGTAATAGAAATAATGTCTTTGGAGTCGGTTCGTTATATTATTTTTATTCCACAATACGGAACCCGATTTAAGCCAGGCCGCATTCCTTACCATTTCGGTTTGTCCAAATTTCTAATGTGTAAATTACAAGATAGAAGCCAATATTTGAAATGAAACCGGTGTCTGTAAATATCTTATCGATTATATCGGTCTCATATCGTTTTTATATTTCGCAGTAGTTTCCATACCCCTACACTTATTGGGGATGTGAAACGATAAGAAATAAATTTACACTGAGAAAAATATCGTATCCATCATTCGTATACAAATTGCATTCGAACCAACTTTAGGATTGTATTAAAATATTGGGTTATTCGGAAAGTAATTTCGTTTTTTTTCCGTTGAAAAACACACAATATTTTTATAATAAATAAATATTTTATTGAATTATATATCGACCATTTTGGTCAAATACCTGTTGTCATCGTTTCTGGTAGTAGCATGATTTCACATTCATAAAAGTTTTGATCGTTGCTTACAAAAAACTGATCCAAGTGATTTTTGACATTGTCATTTCAAGTAAATGTCTTACAGTTAAAAAAATTTGTATAGACCAGAACAAGTAATAATCTGAGTGTGCTGGATCTGGAGAATATGATTGTTGTGATAGCATGTCCCATCTAAGTTATAACAGTTTCTGACAAGTTACCAAAACTTGTGTGAAATTTGACATCATCGTGGTAAAACACCACCTGTTTTGTTGATCAATTCTGACTGCCTTTTCTGTTTGATGATATTACTCAGTTTGTTTACTCAATGGCAGTTTACTTTCAAATCAATTGTTAAATTGTCTAGTAAAAGCACCAAAAAAAAATTTCCTTAAAATCCCACCAAAGAGCATCTCTCTTTAAAAACATGTGGAACCCATATATCAAGCTTTGAAACGAAACCAATTTGTTTCAAGTAATCATAAACAGTTCAATTAGACAAATTTAATCTCTTAGTGATTTCACGTGTTGTTATTTGGCAGTTTGCTTTATCACTACCTTTATTTTGCTTTCATTGGCTTCAACTGGCCATCCAGAACGTGGTGCATCTTCAATATTGAAATTGCCAGAACGAAATTTTGTAAACCAGTTTTGGCACTGTCATTCTGTCAATACAGGTATACCTCAACTTACGTTGTTTCGAGTTACGTTGTTCCCGATTATACGTCGTTTGTCAAAAAAGTATATGGAAAAATAAAAATCAAATTTAAGTCATTTTATTCGACTTTACGTCTGTCCGCCACAAATATTGAAGTCGTAATATCACTAGAAAAATGTTTAAAGCACATAAAATCATATTAAAATATATACATTCACAAGTATGTACTGTATTTACAGTACATGCATTCGTAAATGTAGATTACTTTTTTCTGTACTATATTAAAAACTAAAATTTATTTGTTTGTAAGCTTAAAATAGATCCTTATTAACCATACATTATTAAAAATGCATTAATAAATAAAATACAGAACC